GAATGCACAACACTGGTATTACACGGTGACGACGGCCTTGCATTTTACATAAAAAGTGAAAGCAAAACCAAAAGACGTTTCACTCACTTTTGGATATGCGAAGTGGAAGCGTAAAATGCTGCCAAMGCGACATTCAAAGTTTAATGTAAAAACGTGCAAATATTTGCTAATCATATATAACCTATAAATAGATCGATAAAAGAAAAAAGAGAATAAAACAGGGTATAAAACACTACTCAGCCAGTTTCTCAAAATGTTAAATAAACAATAAACACATGTTTATGGAGACACACACACATGTATATAAGCATGCTCTCTCTTATACACACACACACATGCAATCTCTGCCAACAGCACTTGGAAACAATAGTTGCAAGGCAAAACTGACGCCATTGCGAGATTGCAACAGAACAAAACAGGGCGCGGTGTGGTTCTGTGTGTGATAAGCCATTGTTAAAAAAAAAATTACAATAAATATGCATATAAATTGCAATTTGTAAAGAAACTTCTAGTTCTGTGATGATTAGTCACTGAGAACCAGCTGTTTTTCTTCTCCTTTTTGCTTGCTCTTTCACTTTCAGACACAAAAACTGGAATTCACACATACACATACACAAAAGTATGATAGCACTTTTGCTGTGTCTGTGTGTGCGCACAAGAAAATTGCACACGTGTTTTTATACTGCTTTCATTGTACGAGTCCACATTGGACAAAGTTTATATGTATTTGTATTACAATTACAAATTTATAATTACTGATTACTCACCATCGGCTGGCTGCTGGAAGTTCACGTAGGCATAGCCCAATGAGCGACGGGTAACAACGTCGCGGCAGACACGAATGGACAGAACTGGACCAGCAGAGGAGAATTTCTCAAATAGTCCCGCTTCGTTGATGTCCTGGTGTAAATCACCCACGTATAAAGAAGCCATTTTTGATGATTAGGTCCTCCTGGTATTAATAAACATATATTTCGGCTGTAGATCGATTATTACAAATTATGGGTAGATATCGTGCAGAGCTTTGATAAAGTTTTAGCAAGTATTTTTGACAGGAAAACAAAAGTTGCAAAAACTAATTTTATAAAAGCAAAAACTAAGCGGCGTGATTCTCGCTCTCTGCTATTCTTTTTTTTTAAGTGAGTGCGTATTTCTATGGCAATACTGACGCATGTGACAGTTGAACGGCGGTCGATTGGTCGACATGGCAACACTGCGCGGCGGCATAGGCATGTGCTTTGTTGTTGCTGTTTCCTTCTTTCACAGCCCAATACGAACAGACAGAAAGCATGTTGGAAAATTTCCACATGCATACGCACACACACATATATACAAAAACACACAAAAACGCTAAGCTCGCATTAGAATTATTAAATGTACTCCATTTTAAATATATAATCTTTTATAGTCAACTCAACATGCAAATCATACAGTGGGCTGGGTCTTTGTTCGTTTTCTTTAGCAATTTACTGCGCTCTGTTTGGACGACAGCTTACGTCGCCATCTTGCGTGGCACAYGAATCACATTTCACAAGAAAATTTTAATTTTGCTTTGCATTGGGAATTTTGCAGTAGTATTTGTACTTACGTTTTCAGCACTTGCTCGAATTTTTTGCTACTTTTTACAATTTTTTTTGTTGCTTTTTATATTTTTTTAATTTTTTTTTTTATTTTTTAAGTTTTTTTTTTCTTCACAAAAAATATGTGATAAGTCGTGTGCTAAGCGAAACCACGACCGCTCACTTAAACGGACTCTACTCGACTCGCCGCATTCACTTACTAGAACGAGGGCAGAAAACAGCTCGTTACATTTGACACTCGCTTATCGATAAGTCAGTGGTTTTAGTGACTGTCAAATATTAATTCGATATTATCCAACACTGATTCTACAAAGTCAATGTTAATTTTTTTTGTATCAATTTTTCCCCGCAATTCGCCCATTTTGAAAATTGACGACTGTCATGCGAAAAAATTAACAATTTTACTGTCAGAAAATATAAAATTTTGTTGACGGAAGATGTGCAACTTTTAATTAGCGGCAAAAACAAACCGATTTTTTATAAAAAAAAATATACTTTTTTTTAATTTATGACAAAGAAAACCCGAATGCGTATTATTGGTTATTAATTATTAGTATTACTGCAATAGTTATGGCGGGCTCACAGACCAGAAACTTTCAAATATTTATATTGACAACTGACATGCGAAAAAAATATAAATTTTCCTGTCAAAATATATACATAGATTTTTTGGCGGAAGATGTGCAACTTTTTATTAGCGGCAAAGAAAAATCCGATTTATTTAATAAATATACCCATTTTCATTTATACCAAAAAGAAACCTATTGCGTATTATTATTAATCATTAATATTACGACAATAGATTTGGAGGGCTCAAAGACCAGAAGATTTTAAATATTTATATTTGCATGTACATATGTATGTAAATATACCTGCAAATTTAATTATACTTACCAACGGTCACAGACGCGGCCTTGCAACGGGAAGTGCGGTTTATAAGTACGCCTCGAGAGACAAAAGGGTTTCCTTATATATTTTTTTTTGTTTTTTAGAATGCACACGAACAGAGAATTAAATTTTTTTGGTTTTTTATATTTTATACGAAATAAACAACACTCAAACAAACCGAACAAAAGACTGCATCGAACCAATTGTTTAATTTTTTTTTTTTTTTTGAGTTTTTTTTCGGCTAATAAACCTATTTTTTTAATATCTTAGTGTGTCTCCTAATGAGGTGGCAGGCAGACTGACAACGAGCTCAGCTAATGTGTCAACATTTTTTCGATGCCTGCATCGCCTGCTTCGTTTAGAGTTATCAAACTTTTCAAAAAACACTAATACATTCATATGTGCACACACACATGCATACTTGCACACATGCATACATGTTCGTACATTCGTTAACTCTCTTTCGTTGAGTCAGCTTCGTATATCTATCGGATGTTTATTTACTTAATGGAAATTGATATAGTAGACTTTGCTTGTATTAATTCGTTTCTTGAAAAGTGCTTACTGAGCCGAGCCGTAAAAAAYACATATTCCAATTATATCAATGCACTTATTGTATAAACATTTATTTAAAAGTTTATTTTACACATATAGAATAATGCTTAAGTGTGTTTSTGTATATTYTGTTTCTTTTTTGTTTATAATGCAAATGCATGAGATTTTGTTTTGCGTTCAACTCGATTTTGATTTCTTGTGTGTATTTTCATAATACTAAAAATTAAATTGTATTTATCCATTATTATTGAATTATGCCTAATCTATGGGTACATTTAATTATGCCTAATTTGTATTTAATTTTTACCTCGATTAAATTATATGTAGTATACCTCGAATATTTTTGTATGCATAACATGATTTGTAATTTGTGTAATTTTTTTTTATGTTTTTCATTAAGTTTACGTTTTTAGATCAAGTACAGCACATATATATTTCAAAAATATATATATT